GTTTCAATAAAAAAAATCCATTACTTCCATCCATCACTTTATCTCTTAAATATATCATTTTTAACCGAATCCACTGCTTCGAATCTGAGCCTAAAACCATATCTTCTAAAGACAAAGCCACGAATCTTGCCTAAGAATCACCAGCAACAACAACCTACGATCCATTCAACAAATCTGAGACATCGAATTTATATCAGTTTCATCTTAAACAAACGAATTTTATCACCAAAAGGCTTAATTTTCGGATTCAACAATTAAAAAGCTAGATTTACAAAATTAATTTGGTGAAAAGATTTCATCAAGCTGGAAAAAGATGTTAGAGACGCAGACGAAGCCGAAATTTTGATAACCTTAGAACATTCAAAGGAACATAACTTGCTCTCAAATTGGTTCTGAGTGAAAAATCGAAAAGCACATAGACACGAATGCTTTGGAAAAATGGGTAAGGGTGGTTCAGTTTATCAATTTCAGATCTTATGTGTTGTTTACTCGTTCGTCATCTTCGAATTCTCTTTGACGAGTTTTTCTGCATATTTTTATGAGTTTCATGATTAGTTAATTATATGTGAAATCGAGGGTTTCAAAATTGGAATATTTGATTAACTCTATGGTCTCAAGAAGGAAAAACAAATGAATTTGATGTCAAAAATAAACAAACAAACGAATTATATAATAAACTAGGGGATGTCCCGGGCTACACTCAGACATATTGTTAACATGTTTTAACAGTTATGATAAGAAGTAAACTTTTACAAAACAATTTTTGAGTACGGAAATAAGGGTAAAACTCTTCAAATATTTTTCCAAATGCTTCTTGCACTATTAGTCAATGATATATACATGTTATTTCCGTGACGAATAATCTTTATTTTAAAGCCTTTGATTTCTATGACACGTATAATGAAATATAAATATGTATTTGTATGTTTAAATGGTTTCATTTCTTCCCATTTTGTATCTAACGAATAATGAAAAACAAATAACATTAAGTGTTTTAATCTCCTTAACTCCTACAAGTCAAACAAAAGTTCCTTAATCCTTTTTTCGATTCCAATTTCTTTTCTACAGTCTTCTACCGTCTTAGTCTTCTATGTATATTTGCACTGTCAATCACTCTTAAAACACTTTTTCGCTGAGACGGAATACAGTGACCAGGATTCCGACAATCTATACAGCATGAGTAAATTGGAAAAAGATATCAGATTGAAACCGAACATACGTNTTCATAAATGAAGAGACAAAGAAGCTCTGACAGGGAGATTTTCAAAATATCAAATGAAGTGAGTTTCTTTTCCAAGTTGATAGCTTGATTAAAAAATAACACAGAAACGAATCAGCAAAGAACCTTCACAAACGTTAAATCCAACACTGTGTATTGTAATATGAGGAAAGGGT